GCTGAGATACTGGTTGACTGACGTGAAAAGTGCAGGTGCATCAAAAGACACCATTTTTCTTCTTTGTCTGTCATGAGACTTTTTACCCCCTCCCCCTCCAGGAATCCTTGAATTAACTGGGAGCTGATTTCAATCAACAAAATGTTTTAGTTTATGGTTTTATTTCTTTGAATAAAGTGAATGGTAGTGTTTGTTGGTATTGACACTACTGAACGTAACGGAATATCTGTAATGCGAAGTTCTAGTCTACCGTAGAATCCATGAAGAATTAGGCCATTCTTCCTCATTCACCATTGTTCTTCTTTATGGATCTGAGTAGCTTTGACTAGATTGTTTAATGTTCTTTGAGTTTGCTTCTCCAGTTGTTTAACAGGATTCTTGTCTACCACTTGAATAGTGCCCTTGTCACTAAGTACACTTGGTGCGTTTTCCATATAATACACTTCGTTGACGATGACGGCTTTACTTCATTTTTCTGTTGGCAGTATCACAATTTTCCTGTCCAACTTATTGTGTTCAGTGCCATCTTTTCACCTTTGTAGAACTGATGCTTCACTTATTTATCATTCACGGTATGAATGGCTGCCATAATTATTATTATTCTTCAGCTATTATTTACGTAGTTTTAAGTGAAAATTCATAGGCTGCACAAAATTCCAACGCATCCACATTCCCCACAACTGTATTTTAGTCATTTTCAGAGTTAATATTTTGTTGGGAATAAGTTTCGTTCCCAAAGGTGCATCACCCATTCTTGTTTTGTTTCCTTCTCCACGGATTTGTAAAGCTTGGATAATTTGTTTTTCAGTAGTTCTGTTCTATTTATGCCCTCAATTTGCGTTGTTGTGTTTTTGGTAGCCATTAATTGTCTCATTACCTAAAACCAATCTCGAGTCTTGAGTCTGCTGTATGCATCCAATATCACAATTCACACTTTACTCAGCGTTTTTCTATCCAGTGGGACAGTTGATAGATGGTTTATGCTTGGCACTTTGTGTCAAGATATGCTTCATAAACATTCACGTGAGAAGATAAGTTTTCCTCGGATGAACACACTCAGGCTAGAAAATTCACTAATCTCTGAGCATGAATAAGTGCACTAAGATAATACTGAGCTACAAATCTTCTCTACTATCCCAAATAGTAAAACGCCTTTAGAACAATAAAGAGACTACGTAGACTAAGATGTAGCAAAAAGGCATACAGTCAATTATAGCGAATGCTTTTAAGACTTCTCAGAATTTAAAGTTTTACTCGTAATATTCTTAAACTTCATTAATGAATTTGAACTAAAAATCATGATCACTTGGTAAGAGTGAGATGATAGTCAAATCAACGAAAGAAGTCAATAAGTGTTTGAAGCCACACGAGCAAGGATTGGGTGTATATCTTTGTACAAAAACTTAGAGTTTAGCAAACTGGTCGCCAACCCCACTGCTAGAAGTAACTGAAAAAATACCCCTCTTTCAAGTCATTTGCTCTGAATATGTGTCGGAATATGATGAAAGACTGTGATTGCGCGAAATGACCATATTTGCTTAGTGGAGCTGTCGGTCAACCTGCTCGGTTTCAGATATTCAAACAGGATTTTGTATCAAGATGCATTTGAAAACGTTACACTGCGTGTGACCTGCGTAACCAGCTTCACAGGACAAGGTAAACCCATAAACGCATATACATATGGCCTAAAGAGTCAGTTAGTTCTACAAATCGGCTTTAGCTACTCAACGGAGAAAACAACTCTCAGTTTGGCAATAAAAAGTGTCTTTTCAAATGATTTAGGCAATCTGTTTCTGAGCAACGCTATAACTGTTTTCCATCTACATCCACCATTAGTGACTAAAAGTTTGTTGAGAACTATGGGATCTCAATTCCTTTGGATGGCCTTTTTGAAGGAGTACTTTCTTCAGACTTTGTTTTTGATTATCTAACTCATCTGCTGCGAAAATTCTTCCGGTTTCAATCAAACTGAATGAATGAGGTTCTTTTACCGACTAAAAGATATCCGAATTCAACGATCAGTGACAACTTCAAACTGTTTCTTTGTGGTCTAATTTTCTGATACAGTGGTCATATCTTCCCTACAACAAAATATCAAGTAAAAAAGGCTATGAAATACTCTCTACCTTCGTTGATCACTCGGCCGCGAGATGAATATCATTTAAATTTCCGTAATGTGGCGTCAAAATCGATTTTCGCATCAAAGTTGGTGAAGGTACCATTCATGTAACTTCTATAAAGACGAAAGTGATTGAAAACTCTCCATAATAAGGCCAGGCAAGAAGTGATCTGCTATTAGCCATTGTAATGGTGACCCTGTTGCTGTACAATCTTTTTGTTGATTGAATTTCCATGAATATGAAGTGCGTATTCAAAATGCAGCATACACGTATTTCCTCTAGGTACAAAATTTGCTACAACGACTGTGAGATTAATAATTTCAATCTGATTGAGTAACGAATTATTCTAGAAACATTATCAAGTAACTAAAGCCATCTCATTTTTTATAAGGACTATAAGAGAGCTGAAGTAGAATTACACTCCTACATAGTGCATCCTTCAGACTCTTATGTAATTTCCGGCTGCTTGTAATAGTACATTTAGGTAGGAATTTTGTGGCTATCCACAAAGATATGTGCTAAATTTATTAGAAAAGCTACCTACGTCCACTACTACGAATTTATCTACTAATTATTCACTTTCATATTACTATGGATTGACTGTTATCTAAAAATCAGATTACAGTTATTTCGCGTTTTCCAAATCTTAGTATAAATGATACCGCCTTCGTCTTTTTAAGGTCTATTGTAGTGCTAACGGTAGAATAAATAAGATTTACAGTTGACCAGCGATCCCGTCTTTTGATATTCACTTGGTTTCAGCCGTATCATCTTTGTAGACAGGAGCATTTTTTTATCTCTGGAAAAGTTATCTGACAAGTGGTAGATGAGCATTTTAAAATTTGGCTAATTCTGACCAGTTAATCAAAGTGAACTGAGCAACCATTCAACCATAAAAATTTTACCATTAGTCTGAAATTCACCGTTTTCAACTCATATAGCAATAGTAATTTAGTTATGCAGGATTACTTCACAAATCATTAGATTATTGAAGAGAAACTTTAGTTGGTAAGTGTATATTATATAATGTTTTATTATTATGTGTTGACTGAGCTCAGTTGACAAACATAGAAACTGACTGTAATTAGTTAACCCACGAATGACCCTGCATGTATTCCTGTTATTTCACATAACCATAACAAAACATTTGGTGGCAATATTCAAAAACAGCAACAGTTTTGCTTGGAAGGCAACTGAAATCTACTTGCTGTTACCAGTTACTTTTTACAATTACTCCCCTTACAACTGATGAGTGGCACAATTTTTAAAGTCTCCTATTGTTAAGTTCCAACGACAAGTTATTTTATACTGCCTTGATGTGCTAAGAAATAAAATAATTACACAATGAAAACCTACAATTCTACTGATTTGCTTTATTACTCATTTAGTCAAATAGAAATTGAAAATCCTAATCTATCAAATTTGTGAGCATGGCTATCTATCTAGGTGCTTTGATAGTTTAATGAAACGAGATTTCTTGGTTATATAAGTCTGCTGTTCTGAAAAAGACATTGTTTTCAATATCTTTTACTGCGTTCTAATCAGAACACCATCTAGGAAAATGTAACCGAGGGTGTTTATAATTAAACATCAGTGTCAATATTCTATTCAGTCGAAAGATAAGTCTCAGTAGTTTGCTGGAAGACATCGATATACATGGGAAAAATTATTCAGAATTATTTAATATAGTACAAGTTAGTGAAAAATAAGAAGCATTCGTTCACTGTTCGCCATCTAGCTTTAGTGAGCGATGAATTCATCATACAGCAGGAACTTAGTGAACATACTTGGAAAAACAGTTCGTGTATGAGTTAGCTTCGGAATTTCGTGTGTCAACTGAAACGTTCTGAATTTTCGCTACACTAATGGAAAAAAGTGTTCTTTGAGATTACCTTATTGAATCATATTGCTCTATATTTTCATGTAAATTAACAGTTTAAACTGCACAACAAAATGTTTAAATAATACCGAATGAATCGCAAATATGTCTATGTTCATAATAGTTATTTTGTGACGCAGAACTTTTAAAAACTTGTTTTTATAACTTTTATGAAAAGAAACATTTTTAAGGAAATGTAAATGAGTAGCTTATAATACAGGTAAGCAGTTCATGTCTGTAGATTTTCGAAATACACTAAGAATTTGGAAAACCAAAGGCAACCAAAACCTTTTTCATAGAAGTAAGATATGAAGTTAAGTGGTGAAATACGGTAAAAGAATTACTTTCGTATTGTAGTCTGAAACAAATTAGGTCTACTTTTTGATTCAACACTTGGATCATAGGCATTGATGGATATGTTCATTACTATTAATTGACTTGTTCATAAGCACACCTCAGTCCTACAGTGGGATTAACAGCATCCTAAGTGGCTTGACGATTATTTCCTTGTCTATCTGTCGCCATTTCAAGTGATATGCATCCCGAAAACGTTTTGAGTTGCCCTTCCCTTTGAATGCCTATCAGCTCAAAAACTAAATTGGCCTGAATTCCTTCATTGAAAAATTATTCTCACCCGTTGAATGTCATTACTAATAAACAAACATTACATTTATATGAAAATTCTATGATTAAAAACCTTCAGATGTTAAATACTGTCTAACACAAGTTGAAACTGAAGTAAAAAAGGAACAGCTAGGCAAAATACAGTTGTAAAAATTAAAGAATGATAAGTAATTGTGAACAAAGTTTATCTCATATAATTCCACTAGTATAAAAGTAGTCTACTACTAACTAACCATCAAACATCTGTTGTTGGAAATGTTCACTCCCATTGCAGATCATCCCGAAAATATTACAGATACTTCAATTGTTATTGTAATACCTTCTGCAAGGTGAATTAAAAACAAAGCTGTTGAATGAATTTTTATGTCAGTTATGTTAAATGAATGAGTTTTTTCTTTGTTTATACCTTTGTCACCATGGAATTGTTCAAGCAATGCAAATATGGTATTCTTCATATGGAGCATTTAGGCTGGTTGCCTTATTTAATGTTATGTAAACAATGTATACCCACAACTCAAAATAGTATCTTTATGGTTTCATTACTGAAAAACAAATTTATTGTCGTATATAAGGAGACTATACCATATGAAGATGAAACTATGCCCAAAAGTGTATTCATTTTTCATCAACTAATACTTATACTGGTAATAAAAAAAGGTATGAAATTTACTCTCATCCGCTGACCATATATTTCAAGGTTCACTTGCGGATACTTCAGGATTATCACTTACTGAAGACAGGTCTATTAATAAGTAAGTTGTATCAAAAGACTTCATGAACATTAAAATTGATCGCACTGCCGCCTTTAAGCATCGCTCACAAAACGCTTCATTTCCCTTGTTATCACGTGATGTTCTGTGGATGAAAACACATCGCTTAGTAAATGAACATTACTTTATGTAGTCAGCATGTTTTTTTTAAAAGACATAAATGCAAAAATAAACCCATACTGACTCTATCGAAAATCTCTAACCGACTTACTTAACCATTAGGTAGGAACTAAATGATACAGTTTTGTAAATGAAGGTTTATCATTAACAATTCACTTAGAATATTCCTTAAACATAGTGCATTCGCAATCAATTTGAGTTGGTAACAATTAAATGGTCATAAGATGTAAAGAATCATCTAGATACTGTCAAGAGAAATTCCCTATCCGTAAAGTTTAAGTTATGATTCTATCGTTATCATCAAAGACTTTGTGCCACAAGAAATTCGTTGAAGTAGAAGTGCTTAAAATTGGTACCTGCTATTAGCTTCCATATGAAAAGAATACTAAGAAATGAGGAAAGTTCACAGTATCCGAATGAAACGTGTTAGGTTAGAACTGGTCGAAAAGTATCGCGTGGTAATTAACAATTGCGGAAAGTATGAAGTAATTCATTGATGATAAGTCCTCTTTGACTATATTATTCACCGAATTCATAGAACTGATAGTTTGCTGTAACAAAGCGATAACAATCATCACTGATCAAATATCGGAGATCACAGATTAAAAATGAATATGTAATAGGGCGATGAAACTAATTTCAAAAGTATGGAACTCGTTTCCACTTCTCAAGTTACCGAAGGATATATATACTACTCTTATTCAGGATTTTCTTTCCAGATTCTACAGCTATATAATCATATTGGTCAATAAAAATGTAATCCTAAATTAACAAGTTTAAGGTTTTAATAACAACTAGTCATTATTTTCATAAGCTTCAGGAATTCTCAGTGCATCCGAATGGCGATACAAAATCAAGCATTTATGAAGTAATGATCAAAATCATTATGTACTTTTTAAGAGAGTTTTCATCTTCAACTGCCATGAGTCAGAAGACTAAATAAAACGAAAGGGTACTGAAAAAAGATGAAATACTGGACCATGACAGCATTCAATCCACTGGATTCCAAGTTAATGGTAATGAGATCTACCAACTGAGCTGGAAGAGGCAACTGTTAGCCATGTCTAAACTGTAATTTTTACTCTTGCTCTAATGGGTCTAGCTTATGAATAAAATCCATGTGTGATTCATGACTTCCATTTAAGTGAGATTTATATAGCCTTCCAATTCTTAGTTTGTTTTAGTTATATCTGCTTTTCGTTTCAGTGGAGATGGTCTTCAGTCATCATCACCCTGGTCTGTCTCCGCTGAAATGAAAAGCAGATATAACTAAAACAAACTAAGAATTGGAAGGCTATATAAATCTCACTTAAATGGAAGTCATGAATCACACATGGATTTTATTCATACAGCTAGACCCATTAGAGCAAGAGTAAAAATTACAGTTTAGACATGGCTAACAGTTGCCTCTTCCAGCTCAGTTGGTAGATCTCATTACCATTAACTTGGAATCCAGTGGATCGAATGCTGTCGTGGCCCATTACTTCATCTCGCCGGCAACCACAACCCCATAACAAATATTGTAAAGCACTGTATTGTACTGTTTCATGCCTGGAAATGGATAGTTGTGGGTATAAATTTTGACTGGAACGTAAAAGATATCAGTTAGCGGAATGAGATCTACTTTCATGCTTTTATAAACGAATATTGTCCTATAAACCTGTGTCATCCAGTGAATGAAGTTATTGTTCACAGATGAACACTACAAAAAGATGATTGAACTAAATGAATGATGGACTGGTATCATAACAAGAAACCCTATGGTAAAGTATGGAGCTTTGCCATAAGGCAAAATCCAGCATCGTATTGCGACTAGTAATCTAGGATTTAAATGTGTTGGAAGTCCCTGTATAAGTTATTGACAGAATGCAATATCTGAACATCTTTTAGTTGTTTCCTTTAAGGTAACTGCTCATTACTTTAGGGAAATTCGCCTTGTCTTCCACCGGAATTCAGTAGTACAGAAAGAAATGATAACGAACTGTTCACCAATGACACCTTCCATTGTCTGTTGGCCTTTTTTTAATTACCCCTTAAAATAAGTTTTGTTATGCAAACTTTTGCCAAGCACCAAGAAAAAAGCCAGCATATTATTTCATTTTACTTCAGAATACTTTATTTATAGAGCTTACTAAAGTCAGGTTTGTTTGCGGAGAAGATATCAATAGTTCTGCCTTTCATGTACCAAATTTATGAAACCAATGATGTTCTTAAACTATAGTTAATAATAACATTTAATGTCATTCAGAGATTTTATCAGACACTGCTTCTTTGAGATATTTATGCGTTTCACATTGCCTTCTCACTGATGTTACTTCTTCGAATTGACTTATTTCCGAGAAGGCTTACATATTCTAAATATTATGAGATGTGCATTCAGTGTTGTTTACTTCATTATAGGGAATATGCAAAAGACCGATGCTTTGAAAAAACGTTCATATCTTCCCAAATAGATGAACAGCACGGCAACAAAGATAAGTTCATTGGTATTGATATTCCACTTTATGTCACTTTGCAGTTATGAATTTTTGATGGAGTCAAAATTATTTATAGCTATTAGATATTTTCAGACTGACAATGAAAATCGATCACGGATTAATAAAAGCTGAATATAATAGGGCTTTTCAAATAAGCCTCGATGTGGTATAATTTCTTTATTCATAAGTTTATTGGTTTAATTTATCATTCAGAATATTTGTTTTCAAAAAGACAACAAAATTTAACAGTTATTTCTAGGGTGAATAATTCGAATTATTTCAACAAATAATTCGTCTAATTAGTCAACGAATTATCTGGTAGATTATATGAATCCTTGTCAAGATTTGACCGTATAGTTTCACAAATATTGGGCGCCGAGTGATATGTTATATTTGAACGAATCTCAGCGTGTTTGAAATAAGAAAATCCAACGTTTCGCAAGGAAGTCTGCTCCACAAGAAACCTTAGAATTTCTTATTTCAAACACTCTGAGATTTGTCCAAATAAAACATATCTGGTAGACTATTGAAGCAATGAGAGAACGTGAAATTTTCGTAACGTTAAGCTTAAACAAATATGTTATGGTGATAAAGGCCTCTTCAAAGTAGTGAATCACATACTTTAGTGTTTTTTAGCTCTCTGTTTCGTATGGTTTACAAACTCTTGATGTCATCAGCTGACATTTCTCGGAAAAGGACGAACATAGGTGCATGTTGTTGTAGTTGACAGCTCCATTTGCAAAAACGACATATCAGATATAGCCGTTTTTCATATATATATATATATATATATATATATATATATATATATAAAACTATTGAAAACAAACTTAACCATTAAAGATTTTTCTACTTCGGTTCATTTAATAGATATCTCACACAAGGAAACAGTTTTGTTAACTAGGTTATATTTCAGACACAGTTTACTGTCCATAGTCATACCGAGAAAACTTCACAACTTTGAGACTTAGTTTAAATTGTTCTAGTTTTATTGCCGTCTTTATTGCGCAAGTAGTAGGATTTTCCAAATATCTGGAACAGGTGCTGAGCTACTGCTATTGCATATACCCGGTAACGATTGGATAAACAGATATGTTGATATAAATCTCTACCTCCACCTCACTAATTTAGTTTCAAGGATTGTTATTCTGCACTCCTATTTGTGGTTGTTTGTGTACGATCGCACACATAAATATCTTACACGAGGAAAAGTTGGATACTGTCGTAGATTGTAATTTCATTTAAATCTGTTAATTAGGTGTGTTAAACAGTGAAACGGTATTATTTACTGGGTAAAGTTTCGAACATTGCTTACTATCTATATTCATGAGTGACTTTAAAGGCGATCTTCTATTGGAATGGTTAATTAAGTTTAGGCACTTCATGAAAAAACCACTCCTGCAGTCAAAATGTAAACGATTCTAACGGCCACTGCAGCAACTGCTAAGATAACCAACTAGGCTTATATATTTTATCAAAACCTACTTTCCCATCCGAAATACCGAAACCTAATTAGTTAATTCAGTGGTTGATATGGTGGTCTTTAAAATTGCCCTCGAAATATAGATATCTAGTTTGCTATTTCGGTAGTTGTTAGGATGGCCTTTAAAATATTCATATCAAGTCACCTGATATGTGGACAATAAATTATGTTTCACTGCGACGCACCCAATAAACAGACTAAAAGAAAACAGAAAACTATAGCTTGGCCTTTCTTCCTATTCCTTATTTAACTAGGGTCATCTAAATTTGACTGGGCCTGGCTTTTGCCTTGAGACAGAAAAGTGACCTTGGCTGGCCTCTTTGACCTTGCACGTGTTGTAAGGGATTTCGTAAAATATGTTGCTTTGTCAGATTGGATCTATAAGTTCTTCTAATTAAAAAAGGGTGTTTCTGAGTGAATTTTTAAGTTGGAATGCCATTCTAGTCTTAGCCTTATTGAGAAAAATAAATAAACTTTTGACATGCCTTCCTAGTGTGACAACACTATAGAGGTTTCCAATTCTCCCTTCACACTGTTGCCATCACTGCTATTAACAACTGCGTTACCACTATTGGTCATAATCCTCCTACTTCACTAATGGATTCTTATCTCCATTCACAACATAACCAGTTAACAATTAGTTTCTTCGAGATCATCTAATCGTTCACTAAGAGATGCTGCTACTTATTTTCATTTCCGAACGAAATAAAAGCCTGTTCTTAATTTGGGTCTTCAGAACTAAAATATGATTCAGTATAACTTCTAATTACATATCTTACATAGTAATAAAGGAATATACTTCATCAATCGCCTTCAGCATTCAACCTTTTCCACTTCATCGATTGGTACAGCAAAAATAAGACCTTTCAAATCAGCTCTAGACACATTTTAAAAAGTAATGATCCCATAAATAACCTTAGTATCAGGAGAATTTATTGACTCACTATGATAAAAAACTTTCATTGCATTCAAACTTCCAGATATCCCAAAATTTTCATCTAAGTTATATAAGTTCAACTTGACGGAAGTCACAACAGGAATTTCTGGGAAAAGTATTGGCCGTCTTACATTGCTAAATTCATCAAGCCATCTTATATCATGTGGCAGAGTCAACTTTAACTTAGAATGCTCTAGTGATAAATTGCCTGTGTATTTAGATGGAAATACAGGTGTTTTGTACACCAGATATTCACCATGGAAAAATCAGAAATATAATAAATTATTACTTTCAGTCAGTGTAAAGATGGCCAATCACAGCGAAATTACAGATCAAGCAGTGATTATAATTTCGTGGATTGATAACTACTTCAGCACTGTAATACACAATGCAACTTGCTCTGATATAAACCGACAAAAATATTCTTCTAAGGATGAAGAAATTACAAATGAAGGCGAATCAAAGCAGTTGAGACGAGAGAAACGCGTAAGTCACCTATATTCTTTTAGTTCTGTAGGAAAATAAAAAAATTGTATGCAATCTGTCAACTTAACAGAAATTAGAAAAATTGTCTATTTTACAAATAATTCATTGCACTGGAACATTAAAAATTGAGTGTTCCTTATTTTCTGTGGTAAAAACATCTGATCAGATGGTGTCTTGGTAGAAAAGTGATTAAAATTTTACAGAGCCGTCTAATTAACTGATCACTTGATTTGTTACAAAAGAATGACAGTTCATTAACTCATAGAGACCATCTGTATCCCCTTCTGTTTGGCTAGTGCACAAAAATTTCTAAGCATTTAGAAAAGCCTGTTTGGTCTTAAGTTAGAAGAAAAGCTTTTTGATGATCAGTTTGCAAGAGATTTACCAATCTCACGGTCCAGTTTAACGTCTCTCACAACTGAGCAGTTTTGAACTGCCCAACTATAGTATACAGTGGTAAAATCTACAGACCAGTTTCTAACTTCTCACTTTCTTCAGTAGTATACCTTCGGAAGCCTTTCGTATGTTAAGTTCATTGGTAAAAAAAATTTATCTGTTTAGAAGCAATTGGTAGGAAGCCCTAGACATGGGTTTTCTGTCCCTTGGCAGTCATAAGAAAGGCATATCTCCAGTCTTAAGGCGGCACATCACCTCTAGGACTCGAACTCGTGTCATATACTGCTGTAGTCAACGACGTTACCACTGAGCTATTTAGTCCACGACTGAACCCCTGTAAGACTGAATTAAATATATGGGTTGATCATTACAATGCAGCCGAATTCATGCTTTTTATTTGTGAAGACTGACTAAATTCGGTCAGTCACCTAGTAGTACAATACGTTTTTCATGTTTGTAATTTTCGTTATTATAATGAATTGAATCGGTGGACCTTTGTGGGCATATGCGAGTTTAAGCTTTTCTATAGATATTACCTGAAGATTCAGGACATAAATTCTGTTTAGCCAGTGATTCATTAGTTGGATATCCATAGAGATCGGAATCATAGGTGCTTTGCTGAAGTCCCGGTGGAACAAAATCACTCGCTAGGATGCAGACACATCTAGCTGACGAGTCTCAAAGAGGATGAAACTCATGTCCTGTTGAATACCATCAAGCAAACTACTATATCCTTTTATTTTCCTCAGTTTGCCTCTTAGATGGATATTTTGGCGATCAAAAATCCTACATTCCAGCGACTTTTCTACTCAACACGAAAAATTTCTTATTGAAGTGCTTTATTTTCTTTTCTTTTGATGTCAAATATTGTATAGGCTGTTGCTAAAACTGAAGTGGCTGGATTAAAGTTGATTCGAAAGGAATCATCAAAGTCAGTCAAAATATGTCAGGGTCAAGCTTGGTCAATTAATGCAATTATAATATTCTCACCTGGTACCTACGACTTAAATATTCAAATGTATGCTCCAAGGTGTGATAATGATTATTGTGGCTACATCAAATATTTTGGTATTTCATCAGTTGGTGACGCCGTAAAACTGAATACAAACAATAGTGATACTGGTGGGGCAAAAATTAACTATGCTGAAGATCCGAAGGTAGAAACATTTTTAAGTTTCTATCTTATATGCATTATTTCTCTTGTCTTTTTCTAATAGTATTTAGAAAAATACCACTAAGGTAGTGTCAGTTGTGCCAGCCTAGAACATGTTGGTTTAGACAGCCTGTGAATCTTCACTGATAATATATTAATGTTTAACGATAAATATTTGAACTTTTCTATATTATCCACCCAGACATTTTGGTCCACAACGAGAGAGAAAGCATACAGACAGTTCATCATTTTTTGAAATGTTTAATGTATGTGAACTAAAAAAGTTAGCTATATTTTAGTCTGTTTATTAGCAATATCACACAGTGAAACAGTAGCATTTGCTGCAAATGTTGTAAATACTGTAAATGCTACTGTTTCACTGTGTGATATTTCTAATAAACAGACTAAAACGGAATTACACTCCACGACAGTGCCCAAGTTTTACGCCTATATGAAAAAATTAGTACTACATAAGATATTTCTGAAAAACCGGCCAGTTAGTGTGTACAAGACATCACATACTGGATGATGATTGAAAGTGAAATGAATCCTTGACCACGGTAGAATTTAAACCAGCCCTGTAAGTTGCAGGGCTGACTACATACCATGCGACCTATGAGACCAAGTCACTGAACAGGTCTTGCCTTCAGCTACCTAAGGTTTTTATTGATTAAAAGGTGAACTCGTGATATAACACTGTCCGTTTTTCGTAATCACACTAGCTGCCCATCTAGCTCTTCTTGTCTCATTCCGAATCAACCTTAATTAGAAATACAGTGTCATTTTCACTATTAATTAGGCTTTGAGATACTTGTGGCTTAGTAGACTGATTTCATCGATATTAGGTGATAACTGAATAAGAAGTGACGGCCTAGCAGTTGCATTGGCTTGTTCAGTCCTAAGTCGGCAACCTGGAGGCCTATAGCTAGAATGCTGCCGTGACCAAGATTTTCACCTCATTTTCAGTTACCATCCAATATCAATAAACCGAATCTGACTAATCACGACCATATCAGATAGTATAAGTTATTCATCACTTAGTTACTTTCAGTGAGATTATTAAAGCCCAAAGATCGTGTTATGATTCTTCAATGACTGTGAAAAATGATATCTTAATTATCTGGTAACATAAAAACTTGAAACTGGATTTGTTTTCAGAAAGATGAACGGTAAGAAGACGGATCTGTATCACAAATCTAAGTATTTTTTTTAAGCATTGATAAGATGAGATCGCTGTTTGTATTTGAATTATTTGGATTCCTTATTTTGTAAAATGAAAATTTCCAGGCAATCGCACATAAATTTCCAATGCTTTTAAAAATGAAGTGAATTCTAATGGTAACAGACAATTACACTGTCAGCATTCTAAGGTAATCACAGTCACTGTTAGCATAAATACCCGTCTCCATTTTCAGCCGACTCTATTATTCATTTCTACAATTTTAAACTCAAATTTTCACTGAAATTCAAATTATTATAGCGCCATATCGACAGCAAGTCTCAGGCATTTCTTAAATGGTAACTTTGTAATCCACATTCCTTGATACATCGAAGAATAGTTGCTTCGGAAAAACTATCAAAGACAACACTGAAATCTGGAGCCGGAAGTTTGGAATCAGTTGAAATTGTTTTGCCTCTGATTTCTGAGTGGATTAGCCCTCGCTTTCAAGGCCTGTTGGCAATCTTTGACAATTCGTCTCTTACAGAGGACCAGAACTTACCATACTCGGAGACCTCAATGAATATTCATTTCCTTTGTTCTCCGTTTCCTACCTATTTGTGCAAAAATATGTTTATTTATTATAAAAGCCTTACGTTGATGAAATATTATTCGTATGTTGTCAAGGAAACAAACTTACCATCCTGACTGATGTGTTTACTAGCAAAAGTCAAATAAAAGTTTCGCTGAGAGCACAGAAATAACACCGCTGATAACCAAGAAAAATGTAACCCACCCAGAGTCAAGAGACACATAACGAATTAACTTTTAGGTCAGACGAAACAAATTTCCATACCTAATTAAGTGCAGCTTCTCCTTATTTACTACTGAGTATATAAGTATTCCCACTCAAAAAGTAGTATATTAACTTGAGATGTGTGTAATGTATTGCATCTGTCTATGACGACCCTGTGGAATATCTAGGTTAAATTAGAAACTTCGGTTTAACAGTAACTCAGTTGAATTTGTTGCTACCTCTCTGTTATTTTCACTGCAAATATTTCAGTGCCGTTTTATACTGAGATGTTTCCAGTTGTCTTACTGTTGAACCATCATAGTTGATGATAAAAAAAATCCACTACACCAGAGTACTATGTTAAAAATCAATAGACTTAACGTTTTCTGGGTGAATAGCTGTTTAGTCCTTGCTTTGGACTTCCTAACTAAACGAAACATTTTCCATTTCACAGCTTAGCGTTTGTGGTTTCGATTCTCATAGAGTTGTGGATGAACACTGTTTGGGAGCTTCAAACCAAAAGAAGACATCCTTTTAGTGCTCTTCTGCTTTCACAAGTGTTTCAGCCGATATCAGTTCATGATGAAAACCCCTTTTGAAACAATGATATTGGTTTTTCTATGAAATTTATCAAGTATTTTTATTAAAATCTAATAAATTTTGTCGGTACTTTTTAGAAACAAAGACAAATAGATCTTAGGATATATAACATCACGGTAGAAAATCAGCTAGATGCAGATGATGACAAATTTGGCCTTCACCTTCAATTTGCGCCTATACTTTGGGTTAAGAATCACATCCAGCCTGGGATGGAAGCGCATACTGGCATTGTTATTGAAATTGATGACACAATACTGATAGGATTGGCGAAAATGGTTTATCATGAAAAATGTCCTACACATTCTGTTGAAATGACTATCACATCATATCCAGTAGCAGTGTTTCCAACTGATATTGTCATTGTGGCTGCCGAAGTTTTTCTACCAATAGTAACACACAACTATACTGTGAGTTTTTTCGTCTCATGCCTCCACTATCTTTGTACTAATTACCTTATGCGGCTGCTGCTTACTTCCTGAGAATCTTAACTCCATAAATCCACTTGTCATAGACTATTTTGTGACGTGTCTACATCATAAATATTACATGTCTGAAGAACTGCAAAACCAAATTTCTTAGTCTGTTATGGATAATAAAGTAGTTACTTAACGTTCGGATGCTTTCGGGTGTAAAAAACCTAGTCGACAACACAGGATATTTAGAAAAATACGTAAAACTGATAATCAGCAATAATCCCGTCTTGTTGTAAACAACTCTATGAAGCTAAATCTTAGTGCTATTTTCATGCGACCTAAGCTGTGAAGAAATTCGTGTTTGAGATATGTAATCGGAATTCGCGTAATGAAGGATCGTCACTAGCAGCGAAATGCAGGAATTGCGTTTGACCCTCTCTGGCACTCTTTACCTGGATTCACCTGCCTCTCATAGTGAGATATAAGCCATCATATCACAATTAACTCCTGGCACTTAGAATGCTGATGGTGACCCCGTAGTCTGGTGGAAAACGCTTTGTTGTTTGATGGAATGGGTACTGGGTTCGAATTTCATAGTAGACAACGTCAACAACTACATCAATTTGATGAGTACCAAAAGAAATAAAATTCACGTTCTGGATCATACTGCCGACCCCTATTCACTATAAGTATCAAACCTAAATTATCGAAAGTTTCCAAACATCCGCACAACTACCCATGGGGTAATAGCGGCCTACCAGTTTGGTTCAATCAAAATTGGAAACCGCCAGTCGTAAACATAAATGCACTCATTTAGGCTGTAAGACTAATAACGCCAAAGTCGCAAAAATACACTGATCTTAAAACTAAACTTCAAGTACTTATATTTAGATTCAGTGATAATATTTCAACTAGCAATGTCAAATAAGTCTCTGCACAGCAATTTTGTTGCTGCACTTGTACAAAACAGTGGCTTGTTTGAATAGTCAGGAAAAAGTTGGTTTTCTAAAAATAATTTTCTCAGGTTTTTATTTGAAACTTCTTTTACTGTTCCTAGTGTGTGGATAGAAGTTAATATAGTCATAGTTTCTCAGTTTTCAGTTTACTCAGTGGGGCAGTCTGCAACAATTTCTTCATTAGATTTGGTGAAAGGTGAAGGATTTACAAAAAACGATCCAAAGTCTGAGATAAAAACTACACAAGAAGAAGTGTTGCGCAACTCTGTAATCACCAAACGAGTTGACATTTATGTGAAAGAATTAACTAATCCATGTAAGTAATGAAACATTTTTATATTGACAGGTTTTAGATTTTAGAGCTATGTGCTTAAATATTTATTAGCCTTTCATTCTTATCAAAAAATATTCACTTGATATGAAGAATTTCTGAGTAGTTTAGAACATTATCCGTGTTTCGGTTATCTAAATAGGTAGGAAAAATGGGAACAACGACTAACGTCAAAAGTAATCCAAACTAAAGTAGTTCATTGTCATGATAAATGCTAAAGTCCAAAACATACTACAGCTGCAGTTATTTGGTTTGAATTGCTCGACCTGAGGATAAATATTATAATGTGTGCTTGTATATGCTTCCTTGTTTAAATTTTGCAATATGAAACACCTAATGTAACCATCGGGCGACTAAATATGCTTCTGTTTTTTATTGTAACCTAAACAAATAACATAAAATAGACAGTTTACACTATCTGGAACAATCTGACAATGATGTATAACTAATAAATGTCAATAAAAATTGAAAATAAACGAGCAGCTATAACTTTGTCTAATTTTCTATTCTTAATATACCTTTTAGTTAAGTTGGATATTTGGAGATACACAAGATAATTGGAGCGCTTAACAGGTTTACTGATGCGATCAGTTGTCAGAGCAAAACCTAAAGTATGAGCGTTATAAGCAACTGATAAAATAATCAGTCAGATTACACTACTTCTCTTTACATGTTGGTTTGTGTTATTTGTTATCTCAGTAGTTTCCAGGACGGCCTTTAAAACCACACTTGATTAACGCTTAGGAACAGCCGACAGCCAATTGGTAGTTGACTGGGATTTTTACTTCATATATTTCCGCTAACTAGTTGTCTGCCACCAAAATGACAATCATATATATATATATATATATATATATCAGTCTTTACTGATACATAAGTGTAATTCTAGTAACGTTTGTTTCAGCGTATATGTTGTTAGCTCCTATCTCACAAATATACTTCACGCGTAAATAGAACAGATAGATTTCAGTATCTTCTAAATATGCACATGAGCATGACTCACAAGCTTAAGCACAACTTAAATAAAGTCACAGCTTCACCCGCTGAGAACATTCAGAGATTGTTCCAGGGTAGTTTTCGAGGAAAATGTTTCTACTCACAGTCATTTCAAGGTTAAAAAATAGAATTCTGAAGAGGTAAAATGCTCAACTTCCAGAGTAAGTGAATGTTTTCATCAGCAAAATGACTTACATAACAACCGTTAATTAGGACAAACTGTGGTTAGTTAGCATGTGAGTTGTATAATGTACTATATTTAAACATTTTGCTGACGTTTCGTCACTCTCCAGATGCAATCTGTAAGACCTCTTGGTAAAATCAATTAGCATCTCAGTATGACATGCTACATATTTCACTGTAAGCATAATAATCTAAAATGCTCATTATTACAGCTTCTTCAGCTATTTTACACAAACACTGAAAGATTTCTTCCGACATTTTTGGCCATTTAACACCATATTTTTGCCACCCTATTTTCATAAATAGTTGAATTTTCGTTATGACAATATCTCAAACCAATGTAAGCAATGGTAGGGCATTCAAACTATCACTATGTTCTTTGAATGAAATCGATCATTTAGGCAAAATAACTTTTGTTAGAAGAGAGCCTAAGAGTACTTATACAGTATTCAAAAAACTTTTTTGAAGTAAATAATTAATTTGTTCGTAAATCACCCGTATATTGTTTCTGAAACTAGAAGGTGAACAATTCGGCTTTTTATTTTTAAAACAATTTATGGTATATGCAATGGAGAATTTCTCTATTATCCTTAATAATTATATATATATATATGGATTTTTGGTACATTTCTCATTTAGATGGACTTATTTCTTTTGCCTCAAGAAATAGTAAAGTGGTTAAAATGATTGCCCATATACAAATAACTGACAAACCATCAACTAGGGCAATAATTGGTTTTCGGTTGCAAGTTCCATTCGACAAAGTGATTTACAGAGAATGCAGTTTACCTATCATTGCTAATTACAAAGAAATGACAGGCGTAAGTGATCGTTTCCCAAAAATTCTAATTTAAAAATATCGTTTTTTGCAAGATTACTTAAAAATGAAATTCAAGGGATGTTTCTTTTCTGAAGACATGACCATACATTCTGCAACTATGGAAATGTGACACCGACCTTTTGATTTAATTCTTCTGAAGTTCATGTATCAAAAGAACAACGCTGCTTGAACTGAAATGAGTTCTGGTCAACCTACCATTAAATTTCTAGTGGATCTTTTATTTTAGATCCTATAGGTCACAAAACTTATACATGGCATTTGGCAAGCTACATCCTAAAACTTGCTGATCTCTTCAGTTTGATAAATTAGAGTAGAGCATTATCCCTATTAGAGAAAATAGTTGCTTATATTAAAACCGCCAACAAAAAATTTAGTTGATCAGATGGGGGGAGATGTCAAGAAGCATTTCTTTGTGATTTAAAAATCTCCAATAATTTTGGGAACTGAAATACGTAGTCACATTTCTTTCTTTCGAAAAAACTACACATATTGCCGAAAGAACGAAGCCTTATTATCTTTCTAAATAGTTTCTAAGGTGGCTTTTAAAGTCAACCCTAAATTCATCTTGCCGAAATTAAGTCCAGAACCTCACAAAACTATAAGTAATGTGCGTATATTACTACTGTATGAAGGATGGACTACAAAATGTATTCTACGAGAATTTAGTTGCCTTTGAAGTAAACCCAAGATTAACACATGTACTCAAAGAACCAGGTGTTTCTGACCTCTGAAAGTGTGAAACAATGACTATTTACGATTTTAAATAGATTATCCTTACAGATAATTACATTCACTAACGAATGTAATAAGAAAAGATGAAAGTTTGGGCAAATACATATTCTCTCAATGTCTTCTCTATTAGACAATGAGTATATCAAACTGACTGATAATGTATGACAAAGTAACCTTGAATCGACTGCCATATCTTGATTTATGGATTCTACAACAAAGATAACAGTATGGAAAAAATATCTTTTCCTTGTTTACAAATCATGTTTTGCAAGTAGTAGATTTTATCAACGTGTAAATAAGAATAAAGATAATACTATGCAGTTCACACTCACATTAATGTTAAATTGATACACAAATGTAACTTAAGTCATGCTTCATGTTTGATAGTTGAGCATGACTTTAACTGAAGTGAATATAACCAGTAAACATTACAATGGTTAAACTCTTACTAATGCATATTTAATTGCATTCATCCTGCAGTGACCATAACATTATGGGAAATACTGCTCACATTTTAGTTATTTGATGAATGAAAAGTATTACTTTTATGTTAAGTAGTACGTTTTATCGATGAGATTACCAGTGAGTAATCAATTAAGCCCATTACTAACCTAAATTCATTGAACAACTTTTCAATTTAATCAGTGATCTGAGTGACATGAAGCTGTGATAGACAATCTATTGGTGTTAGAGATAAGAAGTTGACCGGCTGACAACCTTGTACCTAGACTCTTACTCAATGTCACTCTTTAAAAAGATGTGTTATATATATATATATATATATATATATATATATATAAATATGCTTTCGATTTATTTTCAGGTAATTTCCTGTATAAATGATTCGCAAAATCCCTGTCACGTGCCAATATGTTTCAACAAACTGCCAATCATTTTCAAAATATTAAAACAGTATCTCAGAAATACAATTTCAATACTGCATATTCAATCATCA